AATTCTTTAAATTTAATATGATTAAACAAGACTACAGTCGAAACCCTCTATAATGAACTTCAAGAACGAAATTTCATTTCCTATGTCAGATCCGAAAGGAAATATACACAATCCCATGAGAAAAATGTGAAAACAGTATGATGTATCACACACACACACACACACACATGGCTCCATCTACGGCAAGAAGTGAAAAATAAATCTAATTTTAAAAAGTAATGTTAAGATTAAAATAGTTATTATTTTGCCGAGTTGTTAAATTTTTTGGTACTTTTTTCAGTTCCAAAGTGTTTTAATAATTTTGCATGATATATTTCTTAGCATAAATATCAATGTTCGGATCTTCATCTTAAATTGCTCATTTATAACTGTAAATAATTATTTTAATCATGAAAATAAAATAAAAAAAACACTCCCCCCCCCAAAAAAAAAAGTGTCTGAAAGAATTCAGTTTGTAACGTTTCGCAGAAGAGGTTTTGTTAAAGTTTTTTATAATCTCGCTGAGCATCATAGTTATCAATCTGCTCTAGGACTTCATCCTGTCTTTTCACCTTTATTAAGCATTGTTTTTTCTCACTTATGCCACATACAATTCAACAGCATATGTTTAGAATTAAGTGCAGTGTAAATTATTAGCGGAATATTTTTTCTGTTTTATGTTCAGCCTTTTCTCAATTCGTCAGGTCAAGGTTCAGTTTTCTTATTAAAGTGGCTATACTTTCAACTTTTTTGTCTTTTTGTTTTTAACCTTTTTTTTAATGTTTGCTTTATTTCTTAAATATCCCGTGATTCCCATTTATGTCACATAAAATTTAACAGCAAAATTACAAAATGTTTAATAACAGCATGCCTTTAGAATTCACGGATGAATGTTAGGAGTTGCCTAACAAGCAATTCCGAAAAAAAGGAAAAATGCAAAAAATAATTTAATCTAATATATACTTATAGTTCATTATATATGTCTCTGACGGTTCGCTATATGAGTATAAAATTATATTAAGTGTGTAGGCAATTTTTTGTTTTTTATATTCTCGAATTCATTGTAACAAATTTGGACTGTATATTAATACAAAGTATGGTCCTCAAAGTCTTCCTAGATTCGTGGTCATCCTAGGTTTTCAAAAATGTCCTGTTCTTTCTAAATGAAATTAAAATTTTATATCATGTTTTGCTGATGACATACGGCTAAGTACACTGGCATATATTTCATATTATTGCGTGTGTAAGCCTTCGTAATAGACTGAATGCACAAGTCCGATAACAGGTTAATAAAAATTTATTTTTATCAAAAGAAATATTTCAGAACTCTGGAATTTTCCACAGAAATATTCGTACAAGTGTTTACAGTATTACAGAGTATAATCAGCAGTTATACTTCAAACTACTAAGAACGTTAAACACAACGCAATTCAAAGCGAATCTAAAAAGAAAGCTTACTCAGATATCTCAGTTCACGCGGAACTAAACAACTCGCAACAACAATAACTAAACAACTACGAAGCAGATGCTCTCTCTACGGCCTCAAATAGTTTCAACCGGCCGTGAGATATTTCTAGTACTATCTGCTTCTCGAAATTGTTGGAAATGAATACGAGGGTGGAATTACGGGTACATGTAACATATTAGTCAATTACATTTATTAAATTTCAAAGCATATTACTGAAAAAATCATTTACTCAATGCTAAATGCACGTGACCCTATATTGTTACTTTTCCGGTATAGCTTTCTGTTAAAAATTCGTCTCGTGATGCCTTGCACGGAAAAATAAAACAATTTTAAAAATTCATAACAATACGTATTCTCAAAACTAAATGAACTAAATCTCTGCCTAGAAGGTTAACTTACTGTTCTCAATGCCTTTGAAAAATTAAAGGAATCTTAAAAAAAAAAAAAAAAAAAAAAAAAAAAAAAAATCTTTATTTGTGGGTTAGTATCTTAAAACAAAGAAATGTTTTAACATCTTCAACCTTATAATATTTTTAGTAGAAAATTATATCGTTATTGGAAAAAAATTATGCAATGACATTCATTCAAATCTCGAAACTCTGAAGTCACAAACTGAAATTTATTTTCAAGTTATAACAGATTTTAATGGGTTCTTGATACTACTATCGTGATTTTGAAAATAACAAATTATCGTTTATTGAACTAGAGCAGTTAACTGGGCTTCCTGATGATACCGAGCATTAAATGAAATTCCTAAAGGGAAGTTTGGCTAATTTCTAGACTTCATTGTCAATGGAAATGAAATATGGTGAAATGTACAAATGTGCATTAAAAGTTATAATTCAGTTTGCTTTTATGTATAAATTTCTGTATAAAAAGTATTTTCAACAGTACTTCAAATAAAAATACAGCAAAAAGGACCGAAATCGATTTGATGTATGTGCAGATCTCAGATGTAAGCTTATCAGCATATATCCAAACACGGCGAGCTGTGCAAAAATTCACAGGCTCATCTGTAATCATCTATTTAATTACTAAGACGGGAGTTATGGAAATTCTAAAAAACTTACATTTTTGAAAAAAATATAACTTTTATTATTTTAATTTATTAAAAACAATGTAAAATTCAATTAATTTTAATTAATTTTAATTTAAAATAGAAATATACAAAAGTTACTGCTAAAAAAATTGTTTTCGGAGGGTATTAGCGTACGATAGTCTGCAGAGCCTACTGACATGCAAAAGTGGTCCCCAATTGAAAAACGTTTGAGAAACGTTGTATTAGTGCAAAATTGTGTTAAAGTTTTTATAAGAAATTAGTTTTTTAGAATTTATATAATGAAAAAAAAAAAAAAAAAAGAAACTACTATTTCCTGGAAATGAAACATCAAGATACAACCTGCTTCGATGTGACGCCATATCAGGTATATAAAATATAGAATAGACTAAGTGTCAAAATTATTTTTTTAAAAAAGGGAAAAATTCACTAATTTAAATTTTTTAGAAACAGAGGTCGTAGAATGTAAGGTCATAGTGTTTGAGTATATATTAGTATCAGACCCATGATAGACTTTAAGCGAATTATCGCTGCTTCTGAAATGACTAAAGAGACTTCAAAAATGTTTAGAAAAACCTTTTATTTATAGAAATTTGAACAAAAGAGCACGATTTGAGCTTGAAACTCAGCCATCAGTTATGGCGACGAAATTGAAGTTGCAGCGAAATTGAAGTGGAAATTTTAGTTAGTTGTCAAGGGCTACACAACTATATTTAAATCTAAGTTGGCTCAGAAATTGTCATCGGCGTAACAATTTAAATGACGGCAGCTATAAAGCAAAGCCGAATAATTACAACCTTATGAGAGCTACCAAATCTAGGCAACGTTGTTGGGAAAGGCACAAACACGCTCTGTCTTATAATCCAAAGAGAGTTATAGTAAAAGAAGAAGAGAAGTTATAGTAAAAGTCGAAATAATAATAATAGCTGGTTAATTTAAATAATAATAATCTCATTAAATTACTAATTAAATACAAATTAACAAGCAAAAATTACAGAAAAGACAACGTTGTTAAGTTAAATAAATGGAGAACTGCTAAAATTTAAAATTAAATATAAAGTAAACCGGATATTGGTAGAATTTAAAATTCCATAATTAGTTTCAATTTCAATGGAAGGAATAGTAGTCAATAAGCAAAACTAACATAGGATACAAAAGTATGATATGAAGGATCAATAAATTCGAAGCGTTTTTAAAAGTGAAAGATTACAAACTAATCTATGGGAACTAAACTGTTCCCATAAATGTCTTGTAATTTTTCAAATGGAATATAAAAGTACACTTTTTAAAAACAAGTAAAAATAAAAAAATGACACAAAGACAACTGTAAGAAAGAAACAGTGAAATCAAAAAGAGCGTTCTCTATGGAATTTTCCAAACGACATGGCTGTCCATTGAAGCCGAGTGAAAAGTTAAGAAAGTTTAAATGATGAAATAATTTAAGGTTAATGTTATGCCACAGTAATTGTTTATGAGAAAAAGGTACTTTTATACAAATAATATTTTAAGATTACCGTATTAAAACATATATAGCATTTTCAGTTTATTGTGAGGCTAATGTGTCCTTCCGAGGTACACACAGTACCACATATAAGCAGAATATCCATTCTATATTAAACTTATTTCTGGAAATAAAAAAATAATAGGAAGTATTACATTATACTTTTATTCGTTACCTGAAGTATCTATAAACATGCACTGGTTTAAAGTAGTTAATAGTTTCGCTTGGTTTAGTTTATTATGGCCAAACGTACGACAGCCATCTGCCTAAGGCAGGGATGCCTTCCTGGAGGATTTCCTAATAAGGTTTGTAACGCACTTGCAGTGTAATCTTTGCTTTATTAAAGTAATTTTTTGTTAACTGTTTGCTTAACCAGATTGTAAACTATGATACTTTCGAAATTGTATACTGTAATAGGCTTTATTTTGGCGCATAATGATTAAAATTAAAAATGAATAATTTTCCTGTTAAATGAAGGCGTTTATGAGGAGGAAAGAAACTATGCTAAACACATACTAAATATATATTGTTGATCTTTCTGTATTAACATAGTTTCGATTATTTATTACTACTAGCGTCGAACTGACAGTTTATTTCTAGGCTTACATGTTCAACATCTTTGCAACATAGGTTATACAAAGAACTATTAGCATATTTAAGAGTTGCAAGAAAAATCTGACCCAGTTTGGGAGCTGCCAATAAACAATCATTCAAATGATCGACAACATGGTATTTCTGACGCCTTTCCTTAGGAAACATAGTAGCTCGTTAATTCAGGCTTCTGCTCTCCCACATCCTTTCCGCATCCGCATCTTCTGGCGAGAATTTTGATCGCGAAGAGAGAATAAGAGAGAGCGAGAGAGAGAAACTCTCTTTTCTCTCTCTTTCTCGGGCAAGCTCTACCCTTACCGCCACCCCTAGTGCAACATTATCGAGCCAGCCGGCAGAGGCAGCCAGCAGTACTGTCAGAGCCTGCGCGGTAGGAGAGGGAAGGAACCATCCTACCCTACGGCCCTCCCCACATACCCGCCACCGAGGAAGCAGCAGACCAGCGCCGCATCTGCAGTGGTGCTCTGTTCTTTTCTTCGACTCTTTCTCTCTGTTTTCCTGTTGAAATCGAAACAGGATAGATCTAAAGGGGAATAGAAGAAACTTATAAAAAAATCGATACTTTTTTTAAACGATTTCGTTGGATTTGTTATTGTTGTTACTATACTTTTTTTGTTGGTTCTTACTTTGCGATGAATGAGGAATTGCGATGCCCCTATTCGACCGCTGGCTCTGCCTAGCACGGATTAAAAAGTGCTGGCTCCTCCGAAAGAAGTGACAATATACCGCGAAAGTTCGTTTTCCTACTGGATCTTACCGATTTCTGGATCTCTTTCTTCTTACCAGTTTGTCACACTCGTATTTATTTGCATCTCAAACTCATAATACGCTTGCGGTGGTTGTCGCAGGACAACACTCGCGTGAAAAAGTTTGCCAGTGAACAAAGCCGCGATGCACGGACTGAAAAGATTGCGGGATAGTACGGTTTGGGGACAAGTGACAATCCCGAATGTGCTCATTTGGATCGCTGTAGGACTAGTTCTGAATGCGTGGCCAGTTATGCTCGCCAAGCCAGGGGATAAAGGTCAGTTTTCTGAAATTTTTAATTTCGCAGTTACGTAACTATGTTTTCTCGAAATATATTTGCAGTTTTTTGTATTTGCAATATATTGTTTATCCGGGAAAATTTGCAGTTACGTCTTTAACTTAATATTTGTATGTATATGTTGGAAAATTTAATATTTTATCTGAATTGTCTTATTTGTTTTATTTATTTTGTGGTGCATATATAGTGAATTTTCCAAAAATAAAATCTCAATAAAATGTGATATTTACACATTTTTACATTTTATTTTCAGTGTTTATTTAAATCAATTATTGTGTAAACAATATATATTTAAAAACAGAACAATTTCTTATTGAAACTTTGAGTAAATTAATAATTTTTACAAGGAAATGCTGAGAAATATTTTTATCCTCTGGGATTATAAATAAACAATATTCATTGCGCACTTTTTCCTTACTTAATATTTAAATGTATCTTCTTCTGACCTTGAGTATAACTAAGAGAAAATTTGCATTAACGGCTTATTTTGTTATACTTTGCATACTGAAAGTTCATATTACTATAACTAACAAAGATATTTCCCTGTGTGAAAAACTACATGGGATTCCGAAATCTTTTTGCATACTTATAATTCATTTGTCATCTCTATTAATGTTTTATAAGTCATAGCTGAGAATGCAGAAATGTTTTACTAAGTTCTATTACATTTTAATTCTTACTTCTTCTCTTCGCTGAGCTTTGTGAATTACTAATAAATGAATCAGAAGCGAGCGGTTTTTCAGTAAACATTTAAAAATTCATGAAAAGTAACAGTAAGAAACTCATAAAATATGTATTTCGTTTGTCATCTTTTTAAAATTTCCTTTGGGAATACGTAATTTCTACTATTCTGAAAAAATGAAAAAGCTTTCAAATCGCTTTTTCTCAGAAGCCTTTAAAGTAAATATACTGCCTCATCTACACATCATATCCATTTTTAAAGCATACAGTTTTTATAAAAGAATAAATAACACAGTTATGAAATATTGTAAATGGTAATTATTGCTAATTATCATCTAAATAAAAATTTAATTTTTGGTAAAAATCAATTAAATTACGCATCTTAATAGCAGATTAGCTAGATGCGCAACTCTCTAGTCGGATTATTTGTGACAAGATTCGGCAGCGGTTTTCTTAATGAAAAGTTGATTATTTTTATTGGAATCAATGAAAATGAGCCCTCTAATGTACAATTGGCTAAACATAAAACCTACATATATATTTGTTTTATTTACAAGCATTTTACACACACGTAAATCTCTTTTAACTAGGTCCAGAAAATTACATATTAAATAAAAATTTATCTTCTAAATGAAATTTAAAATGTTTCATAGTTTATTTTTACATCATGAACTATAAACAATTAAAAAATATTTTATTCTTTTCAAACACTGTCCCATTTTCATAAAGTAAAGCTGACAAAAAATGCATGACATGAAAATGAAATGCATGACAATGTGCGAAAAGACAGTCTGTTGTACATCGACATATTTCTGTTTGTCTTTTAATTCACTATTAATTTACAACAGAAACAAGATTGGCATCGTCATGTCATTGATCTACAGATAACCAGGTAGTTAGGAATGAGTCACTATCTGCGACTCAGAAATTTGCACAAAAGCGTTTCGTGCTTAACATACAGGCTTTATTTTACTAAGTTGTATTATCTTCTTCATTTAAATATATCGACTTTTACTGCGCGTTTGTGCTTTTAGTTAAAAACCAATAAAAGTATTTATCAACAAGTGTTTTTCTGTTCTAAATGCAGAATCGAATGCAAATATATGTGGTTTTAAGTATCAAAGCAAGTATATATGTGCAATTTTTAAATCATCAATAACCCATTATTTATTGTTTATAGATCAATAACTACTTTAAAAGTCATAAATCATATTTGATTACGTATCTCTTTGAAAAGGTTATAAAACCTTTAAAGATATACAGAATATGTTTAAAAGTAAAAGCACTACCGGTGCTTTTATTTTTAAACAACTCCATGCTCTAATGATTTCTAAAAATACGCCTAACACGCATCATTAGTGATTAATAGTTAATATTAATTAATTAGTTTTCTCTGTACGTTATTGCTTGTTAATTGAAATGCATGACAATGTGCGAAAAGACAGTCTGTGTACATCGACATATTTCTGTTTGTCTTTTAATTCACTATTATTTACAACAGAAACAAGATTGGCATCGTCATGTCATTGATCTACAGACCAGGTAGTTAGGAATGAGTCACTATCTGCGACTCAGAAATTTTGCACAAAAGCGTTTCGTGCTTAAATACAGGCTTTATTTTACTAAGTTGTTGTATTATCTTCTTCATTTAAATATATCGACTTTTACTGCGCGTTTGGCTTTTGTTAAAAACCAATAAGTATTTATCAACAAGGTTTTTCTGTTCTAAATGCAGAATCGAATGCAAATATATGTGGTTTTAAGTATCAAAGCAAGTATATATGTGCAATTTTTAAATCATCAATAACCCATTATTTATTGTTTATAGATCAATAACTACTTTAAAAGTCATAAATCATATTTGATTACGTATCTCTTTGAAAAGGTTATAAAACCTTTAAAGATATACAGAATATGTTTAAAAGTAAAAGCACTACCGGTGCTTTTATTTTTAAACAACTCCATGCTCTAATGAATTTCTAAAATACGGCTAACACGCATCATTAGTGATTAATAGTTAATATTAATTAATTAGTTTTCTCTGTACGTTATTGCTTGTTAAATGAAAAAGACGTATTACTCTTAATTTCATTAGTTTCTCTTGAACAATATTGTATTCTTGTATTGATTACCATTATTTTATATTGCATGTATGAAAAGTAATTTATCTACTTAATTTTCGTCGCATATTCTGCATCACATTATAAATTTTTGCTTATTTGCGTTTGTTAATCTACGCTTATGAATATTTAACTAGCCTAAGGAAGAAACATGCGCCAGTTAAGTCTTTCTGTTTCTCACTTGTTTTGCTAATTAAGACCAATTAAATGCTTCTTTTGGTATCATTTTGTTTTCGAAAGTTAAAGTAAATTTGATATATTAAGTTACATTGTTATGCTTTGAAGGAAAGGGTATATATTTTAAAGTTGCATTGCAAATTATTACGATTTCATAATGCTCTATTTTTTTACACGGAATACTAGACTATACGACTATACATTTCGATCTTATGAATAACTGAAGTCCATGCTATTTCTATCAAAAATAAAATATTTCTGGAATGGATTTTTACAACGAGTTTTAAAATATTTATTTGTAACGAACTTATTCATATAGGATTTTGTTGCGCATTTTCATAGAGTATTGTTTCATATATGTGTGTATAATTCGAAACTCAAATGATTAGTAGCGGTTTGCCGTATCTTGTGATAGACATTCGGAATAAAGTTTTTACTCAATTGAATATAAATTTGTATTAATTTCATAGTGAATACCAATTTTATGCGCAATTTGGTTTTGAAAATGAATGACTTATTAAAATGAAAATTTATATAGTCGAATAACATAAAAATTTATCATTTCCTTAATTGCATAAACGAAAAACACGCAGTGCCCTCGCTGGGACTCGAACTCCGTAGCTTCCGATTGTAGACGGAAGTGCTATTCATTTACACATTGAACGCGAGCGGTAAGAGGGAGAAAAAGCTTAAAAGTTATGCAATATGAGTTCTGCATTCTATATCCGAAATATATGCTGAATTATGGGCTAGGAAACGCAAAGTAAATACAGTTTTTATGGCTCACAGAAGACTGTGAATGCACCAAGTAATATCCAGTAATAAATTTAAATAAACGACAATTATAATAGAGGACGAAGCAGCAAAAAGAATTGGCATTCAAAGTTAAATAATATAGTAACTACAAGAAACTCGGTTTTCATAATTTCTATCCCGATATTGTGAGCTATTACAGAAATATATAAAACTAGAATTTACACCAGTGTTAATTTTTAAAATGACGTCTTTCAAATGTTATCCTTCAGTCTAAATACTGCTTAGCTAGATCAGCCTATGCATAGTGTTACGCTTCAGGATTCGGTACGGCAGTCAGTTAACTCATGTTGAAAGATAATTTAGGCAAGGAATGTGATTTAACAAGAGAAGTCCAATCTTCCAAATTTCTTTGGAAGAGCCTCTGACAGCCATTTTTCCATGTAATATGGACAAAGCAACAAAGCCGAAAGTTTTGGTAACCCTGATGACCAAAAGCAGTATCTGTGAATTAAATGTTTCGAGACAATTTCTTCAAAACATTTTGCGTTAATGCGCTTTCTTCGAAGTTTTAAAGCATGGCAGTACATTATTCTGCATTCGCTGTTAATGCGTAATCATCTTACCCTAAGAAATGCGGGGCCAATAATCTCAAATTTTGGGACTTTGTACCGTTACACTGTCTGTACTATAATCCGTTGTGATGAGTGTGGTGGATGCTAATGAAGTTCTGCGAAGTTTCGCTGGTTTACCCCAGAAATATACGAAAAAAATGATTGCAAAATGCTATTTCCAGAATTTAATGTTCTTTTCATTTCAATTTTTTTGCAATAATGGCGTATATTGAATGAAAAGCTAGGACTTGAATAAGTAAACGTTCTTTGTATTTACTCTGTTATTTCATTTAAGAAACCTTAAAAACATTTCTGCCTCACACTATATAAATGGCGTCTATACCGATAAGTGGTCCTAGAAGACTATCGTTCTTGAGATTAAATTATTGCTATAAATAGTTTGAGAAATTTAGAAATGCACATTTCAATTAATTTTCAGTGAATGGCTATACGAGAGAAAATGGTTGTTTATATATGAATGCATTCACATTTCTTTGAAACCACTGATCAGAAGAAGTGAATAATAATTGTAAAATTTAAAGATTTACATATAAATCTCGGATTTTTATACAAAGTAAGTTTATGTAACCTGGGAAAAATATTTACGCCAGAGATATAGATAGGTGATAAAAGC